TGCCGAATCAGTGGCCGAATCACGGGACTATTGAGCGCCTATCGGTCGCTTGATTGGTGGATACCGAGCGCCATCAGTCACTCGGGCTTGATGAAGCCGTACTGTAACAAGTGCAAGTCGCCGTCCGATCTCGGGCCCAGGGCGCCGGCCGTTGGCCGCAGACTGCCCGCCCGGCCCTACCCGGACCGAGGCGGGGCGGGGCGGCCGCTCACTCCCTATTGGCTGGGCCGGCTGCGGCAAACGGCAGCCAGCTGTCGCGGATGTCGCGGAGGCGTGGAAGGAGAGACGACTGAGCGGGCCGAGACTTGTATTGCAACTGTGGTTCTGATTCTGAATGGGGTTCGCCAGTGCCTGTGCGTTATATGCAAGGTGGTTGCACAATGAAGGACCGGCCGGGTCGGTGGACGGTGCCGACACGTGGGGAAAGTGACGGCTATTTCTATGTAACAAAGCTTGAACGTGTACTCTCTTTATCATGATATGGAAGAAGGGAATCGGTCCCACACAGCACAACCCACATATGAATATCGACAGAATAATGCACCAAGCATTCCAGCACCATGCTGGTTCCAAATGACACGGACTTCCTGAAAAAGGTCAGCTACATTTGTCCCCATAGCGCAGCTTCCCGAGAGCTGGCTGGGGCAGACCACCCGGTCTATGATGCATGCTGTAGCGTGGAGTGTTGCATAGTGGGTGTTGTCGAGTGTGGTGTGTGTGAGTGAGAGCATCGTTTCTCCGTCTTGTGCCTGTGTTATGCCTCGCAGCTCACACAAACACAGATAAGGCATTCGCCAGCGGCACAATTTCAGCTCTTATCAGCCGGTCGGCCGACTCAGGGCAATGTTGTTTACTTATTAGAGGTCTCCTTCGGAACGGTATGCCACTCAGTGCCGTACGCCTGCCCCTTCGTCGTTTATCCGACCTTGCTGATGCCAGTTTTTATCTGGTGGTACCGGCTCCCGGTCTCCGGCTCCATATATTGTGTGGTGTGCAGCAGCGACGGTACCAGCCCGATAACAGAATAGTCAGCCGCGGCTGTCCAGTTTTCACCAGTCTGAGTGACGCTGGGATAGAAATGCTGCCCAATATTTCTCACATCCCTCCCTTTTTTATAAAGATTCTTGGATTTCCTACTTTGGGGTTTAACCCTATTAGCGGCAGGGAAGTTGCTTTCATCCACCCCTCACGGTTTTTCGGAGTATCTGCGAAACGACTGGAGCTAGAATGCTGGAGCTAGGCCGCTCTCTCCACCTGGACCGCATTGAGCCTGGCGAGTTCGGTCTTTATTCGCAGGTCATTGATACGCGATGCCGTTGACCCAGATGCTGTCGAACACTCCGCCTCGCTGCGGGTGTCGGCCCTACTCGGAGCTCGTCCGCTCGACTGTGCGCTCATCACTGGAGTTCACAACGCACGAATGTTCACTCATCCGAACACTAGTTCACTAGTATCCGGCCAGGAGGACCAATTTGTTCCTGACACAACCGCGCTATGCCGGTGACAATATTCGTGAAAGAGTTTTTAGAGAAGAACTTATTGTAAAGGGCCGAAATCAAACCACTTTCCGATACATGTAGAAATAGATTGAAAGTCAACACCAATATCAAGCCAATACCGGTGCGACGGGGCAGCGGCACACTGTCGTCGTGGGTGCACCGCAGACGCACCTTTTCGCAGTAGGTACGGCCACGAGCACAGGGACTGAGCCGCTACAAGGTGCGCCTCTTTCGGGTCCCGTCGATGTACTACAACACACGCACAGCCGCCGGCTTTTAACCCGCGACGGGTGAAAGCGAAAGCACAGCATACACGTCATGAAACGATGGCAAAAGGCATTAGATGTGCGTCTAGCGCGGAGTAAAAGCGCCGAGACAACACAGAAAACAAGTAGAAAGCAAACAGTTATCGAGAGCCCCCCCCCCCCCCCGGCCTGGTCGCACCGCGGGCAGTTTTCGGCGGTAACAATAGCCTAATCCTCCGACCCGGTGGTCTTATCCTAACGAAGGATGTTTGTGAGCCAGCCACAATCCCTGCGTGTCAGGAACTTACCTCGAGCCAGGTGAGCCAGCAGCGGATGAGCAGTCGGGTGCACAGCGCAGCACAGCACTTAGGCAGGCAGACACTGAACCCCGATTGCTCTCATTGTCACGCCTTGCTTATGTACTGTGTCCTACATACTTCCACATACAATAAGAGTCTGAACAACGCCATAATACACGCTTTACATATTGCCCATGTTCGTGGGTTTGTAACTGGCTGAGATGCGGTCGCGTTTGGGCAGCTGGCCTTCGACTGCACCTGTCTTTGGGTGTGATGCCGCCGTCCCTGAATAAAAATTTGGTGGGCGGTGGGTCTAGAGGCTGTGAGTTCAGATTGCGTACAGCACTTGGCTAGACAGTATCTACAGGAACAGCGGTGAAAGCCGGGCGCGGAGGTGGTGACGAGATCGCAGCCGCAGCTGTGCAGAGCTGGCACCGATGGTCGTCGGGATGGAAATGACACCTGCAGCTGGTGGCGCACTCCAGGCGTCGGGCCACGTATTTTCTTTCGGTGGTATGTATACACCCGTTGTACGGCGGTCTCGATGGGCACTAATAGATGGAAGGCTGGGACGAGAGCGTCCCAGCAAGTGCACTGACCGCTTGGGTTGACGTAGTCCTGATGGTAGTTAGCCCCGAAGGTCGGTCGTTGGTTCCGATCCTGGGGTTGATGCGGCAGAATTGGTATGGTGATGCTGAGTCTTGGGCTCCGAGGTGGCGAAGACTTTAGATGACTATGGAGTATGGAGTCCTGATCCGGGTCACGGCACTAATGTGAAAAGGCTGGTTCCTCTCCCTTCTGATGTTGTTGATGTAGCGGCTCGCCCACCTCCCCGAACAGAGTCAGAGTGATGTCGGCCCGTTGATGTTTTGGCGGTTCGGGTTGGCGGCGGTAATCAGACGAGAGCGAACAGCGGCTAACCTTCTCCCGGAGTACGGGTGCGCGCCTCGGAGCCCCGCCGCAGACTGCCCGTCTCGGTCCGGAACAGAGGGCCGTACGCACCCGGGCCGAGCCACTCGTTACCAGTTCAAACCAGTACAGAGTCCCTCTGCCCGGTTACGCCCACTCCAGTTCTTTTCCATCAGGCAGTCTCGGGTCCGATAGCCACCAGAGCTCTCTAGTCCGCGCAGGGACTGGCACTGCTTAATAGTAGAATAACATTTCGACACCTCCGGCGGCCGCAGGCGCGTGAACTGTACATTTGTCTAGCGACACACCCGAGCGGCAGCGCGCCGGCGGACACGCTGAGACACGAGAAGAAATTACTTTGACTTCATTACACTGATCATGTATGGGTGAAGCAAGCAAGGGAGGAAGAAAACAAGCTAAGAGGACGCGATGCTGTACTTCAACTGAGACGTAGTAGGGGCCAGGGGGCTCGGCGTTCGAAGTGGTGGCATCTCAACTGGATTATTAGCGAAAGCAGTAATGACCGAAAATGTCCGCCGTATGTGAGAACGAGTCGAGGTGCCGCAAATGGCACTAGTGCGCATGGCTACGCGGAAGCAGGTGCGGGAAGCACAGTAAATTGTAAATAGCAGCCAGATGAATGCTCGAAGCATCGAGAAAATGGCGCTAAATGCAGACCGTACATAAATCAGAAGGAGGCCTGTAGTCAAAATGAAGGAACCATATACTAGATATTGGAAACTTGAAGGCCGACACGACAAGTTTGACAACATTTCGGCACAGAAGGTGCACGAAATACGAGAGCAATGAGTTGAACTAGGAATGTCAACTGAGCCAGATAAAATATGACCATCGGTTGTCACAAAAGTAAAAGATAGTGATCCTTCATTATAGCGGAAAGTAGTGGGCAAAACAAACTGTCGATTTAATCTGTTACGGTATGGACGATTTCTAAGCCGTCCTTCCTGGCCACAAAAGTTCCTGACGAGTTGAAGGTAAAGACGGGGTCATTAACATTACTTCTGTGAAGTCGTTTTGTAAATCTGCGGTATTGACACTAAGCAATTTTCTTGGAAAAAGTGTGGACACAGGACGTTTGTAAATGCAAGCTTTAAATGAGACCATAAGGGGGTTATCTATACCGAAAGGGAAGAGACATGTAGATATGAACTAAGGGTGACAAACTGAGTAGTGCAATAGCACGTGGAGCCGTCATCGCACGATGCGACCCGATGACAAAAAAAAACATCGCCTGCGCAGGGCTGCGTTTCAGGACAATGACATGTGTCCTGGCTCCTTCTCCTGGTCCCATTTTGTTGGCGGGTACAATCTTAGGCAGCGTCCTCTCCTGGCTGATTTTTCTATAGGTTTGGCGAAGAACTGAGAAAGGTGGTACAGGAGGCCTTGATGTTGTGTTAGAGTAAGCCAATTTACTACCGAGCATTCCGAGCGAGCAAAGAACACAGGATTCACTGTCACAAGAATCGGTGGCACATATTTGTGGTGGAAGAATAAGTGGTGGGTCGAACTGCCTTACGAAGCATTTTTCTGTACCGTTTGGAAAGTAACAGATATCGTATAATGGATCCACCGTATTCGCCAAACATAAAACCAAAAGTATTTGGTATAGGAGCTGCATAATTGTACCCAATTCTGTGAACAGAAGAAATCTAAAGTGTTAAGTAACGCCTTAAGGGGCTATATGTTCCCAAATTTCAAAATTATGTCACCATAAATGCGAAGCACATGGTCACACGAAACACCATATTCAAGACATTGCATGTCATTTCATTTCATCGCTTGTCTTTGCATTGCAATTTATTGCAACATGAATTCTTAATTATACTTATTACTAAAGGGATATGTGCAAAAGGGAAGCGCTTCCATATATACAGGTACCTACAAGAATCTTTGTCCTCGGCTATTCTTGAGCTCTATCTGATACTTTCTTTCTTTTCTTTTACGGTACCGGAGCTCTATAATATATTCTTTCTCAATTCTCACTTTGCTCAGCACAAGGACGAGAGCTCTTCTCTAGGATATAACTGGCAGTTACGTTACTGACCATATCTTGGAGGTGCCCGTAAGTTGGCTCTTGGCCTTAAATTATAATGCGGTGGAGCTTGTTCCATCGCTGGTCCTTGGGCATTGTAAATTTCCTCCATTTCTGCCAATTCAAGCCGTCGCTGCGGCGGCATTCTATCTCGGACCTCTCTCTGTTCCTGCGGCCTCTCGGGTTGAGGGTCTGCATGGGTCCCTGGGTCGGCCAGCAGCGTAATGGAAGGGTCTCGCCAGTATTGCTGCTTTTGTTAGCGTCGCCTAGGAACGGCTAGCAGTTTCACCACTGTGAGCCACAGGAGGTTTCGGTAGCAGTTTCACCACTGTGAGCCACAGGAGGTTTCGGATCACAGAACGGCTGATCCTCGGTGAACTTCTTCAATCGGTTGACGTGTACAAGTTGTACGTCACCGGAATTTTTCAGATGCTGGATGCGTGCATTGACGGGACTAGTCAAATATAGCACTCTGTATGGACCTTTGTTCAGTTTTTGGAGTTTGCAGGCGAGTCCTGGTTTGAGACACCAGTCTCTTCGGAGGCGTGGGTTCGAATCCCACCGCTGCCACCAAATGTCAGCGGGGCCTTTAGCCCTTACCTTCCGTAAAGACGGCTGCTGGTGAACTGCATGTATTTCGGTCGGACACAGGACTTTATATATATGATGAGCCCACGTGCACGAATGTAAGACACGGGGTGACACGTGTGGATGTAAAACATAGGGCGGCCGGCTCAGCGCTGCAAGTGCAGCGCCTGATCACTATCATAATCGTGTACGCGTGCGAAGCCGAAGCCGTGCCAAGCCGGACGTCGAGTTAGGTAGTCTCTGTGGTAGAAGCACATCCGGTTTCTGGCGGTCCTTACGGGCTCTAGCAGGTGGAGGGCTGGGCTGAGAGCGTCCCAACAAGCGCACTGACCGTTTGGGTTGATGAGTTCCTGGTTATAGTGGGCCCCGAAGCTCGGTCGTTGATTTGGTTCTTGGGGCTGGTGCGGCAGAATGGGTATGACGATGTTGTCGGCCGGGGATTGCCGACTTACTTGGAGGTTCGGCGTGCCAGTGTGTCCGTATAGCTGGTCTCGAGCACAGTGTGTATTTGACAATTCACGCACGCTTATATACAAGACCTTGCACGCACAGCACGACCATGTAAGGGACGTCATGCGGCGAGCGTGTGGGCCTAGAGGAACCGCGCGGAAGCCTCTGCAGAGCCGGTCATTCGTTGAACCCGGACCTGCAGTGGCCGCACGCACATGATTTGAAGCGAACATGATTTGATCGCTAACAGTCCCCTTCTTCGGCAAGAATGGAACATTCCCTTACTGTGGGGGGGGGGAGGGTGGAGGGCAATCATGTTCTCTGCCAGGGCCAGTCAAGTAGCCACACGAGGGACCCGGGCCACGACGGTGGGCAGTGGGCACCAGCCTCCACGGCGACGAAGCGCGCGCCTTTACGACGATCGGTGTATCGGCCGCCACGTTGATGCGGGCGCACCAGCCTCCACGGCGATCGCCTCCGTAGCGTTACGCACGTCACCGCGGCGCCTCACACGCCTCCGTGGTGTTTTCTGCTTCCACATCACCGCGTTGGGCTTCTCTGCCGTGGCGTTCTCTACCGTGGCGTTCTCTACCGTGGAGTTCTCTGCCGTGGCGTTCTCTGCCCCGGCGTTCTCCATACTGTCGTTACCGGGTCGGTTTACTGCTCCGCAGCGGCTCTTCTGTGCTCCGCTGCATTTTATGCTCTGTCTTTACCGTGACGACTACCATTATTGCTTTCCTTCCACTACGGCTGCTACGTTTTTTGACTGCTCGTCACTCGTCAACCAACGCGAGGTGAAACGGTTAAGGTGTTCAATTGGATTGGTAGTAGCATTATGTCAGCAGTCGATAGGTATTGACCATTGTCCTTGTGTGTTCACAGAAACTGGCGACTTTGTTTCATCTGCCCTGATCGCCGCTTCTGTCGACACCATCGATCTGTACCTTCTCATGAAGGAAGTCTCTCTGCGACTTCAATCACCATTGATGCTCAGCGATTGACACCAGGACATTGCTGATTCATGGCAAAACGCTCAGGCGGAAATAGTTCATAATTTTAAATGTTCTTGCTAATAAAATAGACGCGAATATCATAGGTTATTTTGCATTGTACCAAAATATAATAATTCTAAACTTAGTGCGGGTATTTAACCCTATTAGTGGCAGGCTCCTGGCTACCCCATATTAGTGGCAGGGGGGGGGGCTGTTTACGACCCCCCCTTGATATCTCGAGATCTAACCGGCCGATTTTCAAAATTCAAACGGCATTCGATTTGGCTCAAAGAGATCTACATTTCGAAAAAAATTAAAAAATGTCAATAGGGGGGTAGAGGGGGGTAAAAACGGGCAAATTGCAGATACATTTTAGACTGTTTATCACGGCCAGGTTTCTGAACCAATCTTAACGCAACTTTTGCCGATCGATAGAGAATGAACCAGGAATTCACATGGATCCTAAAAATATGCATTTTCAAAAATCATAGGCGGATACAGATCATTGAGATTGGGGGTACACAAAAAGTAGGTATAGTAAATAAGGTTTTTGTTGGTACTGTTTCTAAAAAGGGTGGCAATGGTCTTGTTATGTTACAATTTTCTTATGAGAGAACGACTAAAATTGTATTGGTCATGCATAGGCGGTGTCAGGGCACCTATGTTGGAAGGTAAAAAATAACCCCCCTTTTTGGACGCCTGGATCCGCCTATTATAGCAAAAACGTGTCAAAAGAGGATGCACAATAACTTTGTATATGTTATCACATGATACCTTTCATTCACTGCTCGTAAAACTGGCGCAGCATCGTGATCTTCGCCCAAATGACTCGCTTCACGAATAGGACCCCCCAATTCCCAGTGCTCTGGAGCCGCCCCTGGTAAAGTTATGAACTTGAAATTTTCAGGGAATGTGCCCAATCTAGTTTTAGGAAAAGTCAGAAAATTTCAGCATCGTAGCTTCAGCGGTTTCGGAGATATTCCCGAAAAACCTGAGGGGTGGATAAAAACAACCCCCCCCCCCTGCCACTATAATAGGGTTAACGGTCAATAAGTAATAACTCATACACAGACTCACGGACATGTGCTGACAACTTTGGCCTTATCCCTGAAAGGCCAGATTACGCTAAGTGAGCTCACCAGTACCACTCATTGTGCAAAGTTGCCATCTTGACGTGTGTCTAGGATAGAGTTGTACAAACGTGCAACTTGCAGAAAGTGTCCATGTGGATCTCAATGGCCATAATTTTGATAGCTAGCTTCTGTTAATAAGTTTTCAATTCACACGACCCCTTATGTCCATGCCCAATCGAGCTGGAAAAAGCAACTATCCACATTTACCCGATACCAAGTTTGCCTATCTTGAGCACTAAGTCGTGCCTATCTCAATAAAATTGTGTTCCCTATACGACTTACCAGTGACCTCATGGAAGTGCGAGTGACTGGACCAGGCGTTCTCGTAACGTCTCTCCGGTACAGACTTGCAAATACAACTGAAGTCAGCTTGTTACCTCGAACCACCATGACCTTTCCGGACTATTTCGTCACACTCGCGCTAAGAATAAGTATATAACAGTGCTTCTAATGCTGTGCCGTATGGTCGTGTTGCAGGATGTCGCCACACCAGCTGACCCGATCGGTCAACCATCGAGCCGGAGTTGGAGCTGGGAGCAGCGCAGCTCTCAGGGCTGCAGATGGACTGCTCTTCTCTGCAGGCTCCGCACCATTGTCAATATAACCAGCAAAGCCACCGTCCGCTACCCATCGGTCGAACTATTCGGGCCGACGAACGATCACGCCCGATGAGATGACACAGACGTCAAACCCCGCGCCGACGGAAGAGCTCAGTTAAAGGAAATAGTTCACTTTTAACATGGGGTTTTGAACTGGAATAGCAGTTTCGTAGCTTGAGCTGAGACTAGCACAAATCAGGAGCTTTTACGGCTCAACGATCACCCTAGACGAAGATATTCCATTTCTCGTTCCGAAAAGAGTGCCTTGCAGAGGAATGCGTGCCTTGCACAGGAATGCAGCCAAGTCATCGTCAGCCAATCAGCATGCTGCTTACAGCCAATGCAGTATGCGTAGGTTTGAACTACGCAATATGATTGGTCAACGCGTAATAAGCTTCCGCGTCAAACATTATTTTACATAGAATATAGTTCGTCCTATATTAAAAGATAGAAAATAATTGTTTTTACAAAAAGGTTTTATTTTATTTTCTGATTATTTTGAGCATAAAAAATAATAAATCCATAGCAAAATACTAATTTCGGGAAACTGAACTGTTTCCTTTAACGTGTCGGTTAACTGACTAAAAGCGGCACAGTCGACACACATCTCTGTTGCGGGCGATCATGTGAATGTGGATGAGTCACAGTCGCAGGGTATGACTGCGTAGTGCATTCATGTGTATGTCTTGAGGGATTTCCCCGAGATATTATGTCATTACTGGGAAGAGATGTGACGAGCAGCCAATGGGACGAATGCTAGGTGACATGACGTTCCTGTATAGATGTTTAGTGCGTCTGTCTAGCTGAGCGTTGCTATCGACCGTTGCACCTGTGAGCTGAAGTGTTTCTGTCGTGCCTGGATTTTCTCTACTAGTTACAGTGTGATAAGGCTTTAATTTGGAGCATTATATGGTCTTATGCCCGTTTTTGTTGTGGATTTTATCATCATATTATCGTTGTTTCACTTTTCAACATATAACATGAAAAGTAACCACCTATATATGTGTCTTGTCGTGGTCTCATTCACACCACGAAGCCTGCCCATTTATTTGACATTTTACTGTGCTTCTGAATGTTTTTATTGGGTCAACAGACAACAATACACGTCAGTAGCCAAATTTCATCAGTTGTTTTCCACGAATCCCTTCACAACTCCGCACACTACGTGTTAGAGGGCGCTGAAGCCTGAAGCTAGCCTCAGCTCTAGCCGTGTCGGTGCGGGCCCATGAGCCTCTCGCTCAGAGGTGAATGAGTCTTTTACACTCTAGCGCATATCTGGGTAATTGTTTATGGTTATCAGCTGGGTTAGAGTCGACTGCAGAGGGTGCCTAAGAGCCGCTGTCTGCAAGGAGAGAGGAGGCTAGACTGCTCGGGTGGGTACATACGTCGCTGTTTAGGTGACCGGCGAGGGTGGGCGCATGGGATAGGGGGCTCTCGGAGACCTGTCCGCACGGCGCCATACATATGTACATACATATGTAGATCCCGTCCGACGGCTGCTCAGGTGGGCAGAGTGACCTCCAGGGGGGAAAAGGCGATTATGGGTAATTGGAACTCTGTAGTCGACCTTAGTACTTTCCTCTCAGGCCACCATGCACTACACCTCTGGGGGCCACAACCCAGACCTACACACAGACTGTCAGTGCCGGTGAGCCGAACGTCACAGTGGTCTTTTAGGTTATCGGATTCTTTCGCTAAAAAAAAAAACTCAAACCAATCAGTCAACTAAAATGAACAAAGAAATCGGCTAAGACTAATTGTGAGCTCATATCGAGCTTAACCCGCGCCCCGCTGGGGGTAATGGATTTCCACGCCCTGCTGGGGGGGGGGTGAACACCCCCTTCTAACTCGGGTCCTGGGCCACATAGCGATACGGGAAGGGCGGCGTTCGAAAGAACGTCAAAAATAAGGACGGAAAATAAGGAAGAAATCACTTTAGTCACTGTTTTGGTCAGGTCAAAGGTCAGGTCACCAGAGGTCATTGAAGCCCAAATTTCGCCGATTTGTAAGTCAGATGTCGACAGTTTTCAACAAATCGACGCACAACTCGGAAACTAATAAAGCTAGAGCACCGCGGAAAAGCGCATTTGATAGCCCTATTAACCCGCGCATGACTGGGGGGGGCTCTAATGAGCCCCCCTCATGTTTTTCAGCCATATCTTCTAAACCGTTTGACGGATCAACACGAAACTTGCGTTACCCTCAGAGGCATCAGTTTGACACCTTGTGTTAAAATTTCATTTTTCTAGCTACCATAGTTTAGCCGGAAATGATGTCAGAGTGACGTCATGTCGGCCGATTTTCATGCAAAATACTGAATTACGGCAAACGCTCTCAAGAGCTCAATTTTAACCCTATTAGTGGCAGGCTCCTGGCTACCCCATATTAGTGGCAGGGGGGCTGTTTACGACCCCCCCTTGATATCTCGAGATCCAACCGGCCGATTTTCAAAATTCAAACGGCATTCGATTTGGCTCAACGAGATCTACATTTCTAAAAAAAAAATTAAATTAAAAAATGTCAATAGGGGGTAGAGGGGGGTAAAAACGGGCAAATTGCAGATACATTTTATACTGTTTATCACGGCCAGGTTTCTGAACCAATCTTAACGCAACTTTTGCCGATCGATAGAGAATGAACCAGGAATTCACATGGATCCTAAAAATATGCATTTTCAAAAATCATAGGCGGATACAGATCATTGAGATTGGGGGTACACAAAAAGTATAGTAAATAAGGTTTTTGTTGGTACTGTTTCTAAAAAGGGTGGCAATGGTCTTGTTATGTTACAATTTTCTTATGAGAGAACGACTAAAATTGTATTGGTCCTGCATAGGCGGTGTCAGGGCACCTATGTTGGGAGGTAAAAAATAACCCCCCTTTTTGGACGCCTGGATCCGCCTATTATAGCAAAAACGTGTCAAAAGAGGATGCACAATAACTTTGTATATGTTATCACATGATACCTTTCATTCACTGTTCGTAAAACTGGTGCAGCATCGTGATCTTCGCCCAAATGACTCGCTTCACGAATAGGACCCCCCAATTCCCAGTGCTCTGGAGCCGCCCCTGGTAAAGTTATGAACTTGAAATTTTCAGGGAATGTGCCCAATTTAGTTTTAGGAAAAGTCAGAAAATTTCAGCATCGTAGCTTCAGCGGTTTCGGAGATATTCCCGAAAAACCTGAGGGGTGGATAAAAACACCCCCCCTGCCACTAATAGGGTTAAAGCTAGATCCATTTTCTTTGCATGAGTGGACTACAAATACAGGTATCTATCGAACTGCTATCTCGAATTTTCGAAATTTTGAAAATTTTGAAAAATATTCATTTACATTTACAAAAATATTTTTTTTTGATTTTATTTATTTATTTATTTATTTATTTATTTATTTTTCAAAACATCCACGGGCATGGGCACCCATTGATGGACGTAGTCCCATATACCTACATATTACACACACACACACGCACACATACACACACATACACGGATGGAAAATATCAAGCAGACCTAGGTTCGTTAAAAGTATGAGAAAATGCTGCAGTTCACATCTCCCCGTTCTATCTAATGTGCACAGGGCTGCCTCGAGCGGACATACGCTGCTACTCGTTTCTTATACTGTAGCTGGCTATGTTGCCACACATCGACGTCACGGTTTGCGTCCAGAAACATATTGCTGAGCATCGGTATGCGATTGAACAGGCTGTTTTTGACGGTGTTCACCCTAGCGTAAGACACGTGAAAAGTGCTCCAGTTGCGAAGCAGCCGAGTGGGAGCAGCCAAAGGGAATTGAGCCAGAAGAAACGGGGAGTCGATGGCGTGGCGGTGAATGTTACGAATGAACATTGCATCGTGCTGCTCGCGCCTTGCTGCCAGCGTGCTCATGCCGAAAAACTGGATCAAGTCGTTGTACTCGAGCGCTGTATCTGTGACACGGCACCGTGCGCAGAGCCAAATGAGGAATTTGTGTTGGATGCGCTCTATCCTCTTCATGTGAGTTTCGGCTGCGCCTCCCCAAATCACGCTGCAAAATTCTAGTATAGAGCGCACGTTTGCACAGAAGGTGCCTATGATTGGTTTTCTCATTGACTTGTCAAATGTATGGCCGCACTTTCCGGTCTGAAACGTTCGAATAAGAAGCCCTAGAGCTCTGTTAGCACGGTGCACCACGGCGTCAACATGTTCAGCGAACGTCAGCTTCTCATCTATGAGCACGCCAAGATCGCGCATGACTCTCACTCGCTCCAGCTCGACTCCGTCTATCGTGTAGGCGCTGGAGACCGGCTGACGCCTCAATGTCAGGGTGAGCACCTTGCATTTAGCCGCATTGAGCGTCAGGCCCCATTTTGCAGACCACAGATTTTTTTTTTCAAAAGGTTTTTGATTTTTTTTTTCAAAAAGTTTTTGGCTTTTCGCAAAAACCGGAATATATGTGATAGAACACACACTGATGAACTACATTTGCAAGGTTTAGCCCAATATCTTCAAAAATAGCCAAGTTATTCGCATTATTGTCAAAATTTTACAATTTTATGATTTTCAAATCCACATTTCAGTACGTTTTTGACGTCGTACAGCAATTTAAATAGCACCATCGTGTTCCTGAGCTCAAACTGCATCTGATAAGCACCTTTGTTGTTGAAAAAGTTCATTTTCAAAATTTGACCTTTTCTGACCTGAAAGTGACCTGACCTCCGGTAAATTCAGCTGACAATGACCTCAAATGACACAGACGACACTATTTTCGAAATCTACGAGTAAAATGGACCATAAAACATGCGTCACGTGACCGATACATGATAAACAATTTTCGTGACCTAGGATGACCTGGCCTTGACCTTAAAAATTCAAAGTTAAAGTTTGGTACCCTCAGGGTATCTAAAGCATCCGTCAAGGAGTGCGTAAACCAAAAATGAGCCTGATCGGACCGGCGGTCCGGCGGTCAGAGCCTAAATTGTGAACTAACAAAAATGTCGATAATTTTTACTTTGACCTGAACTGTGACGTCATCGGTGACCTCGAGGTCAGTGAAAATAGGTTTCGATCAACAGTTTTTCCAGGGCTATCAGACGGCGTTTGAATTTTGACGATCGGCCCAGTAGTTTCGGAGATAGGAGGGGGGTCTCTGGAGAGCCCCCCCCCCCCTCAGTCACTCGCGTTATGGAAAATACCCCAGTCATGTGCGGGTTAACCTCTATATACTCTGGGTTAACCCGCACCCCAATGGCGGTCAGCCAACTTCGCCCTAGTGGGGGGGGGGGGCATATGTTATCACCCACCTCTAGCTCAAAGACTAAGAGGGCTAGATCAAGACGCGGTAAAAAGCAGTCGATAGCTCTCGATGCGTACGTTTGAAAGTCATTCAGTCATTTTTCATATTAGAGCAATATTGGGGTCACCAGAGGTCATGAAAGGTCAGTCTGCGAGTTGTCATTATATTTTTCAGAAAACACGCCATTATCTCAGGAACTATGATACCTAGAAAAACGCATGGAAAAGCAATTGATAGCTTGAACTCTTCTTTTGATAAGTTCATCATCAAAAGAAGCCTCAGGTCAATGGTTTAGCCTCCAGAGGGCAAACACTCTAAAAATAACTGTTTTTACGAAAAAGGGTTTTTGGACAATAACTTTTGACTAAAAAAAGCCACGACATTTCTATTGCCAGAATCGTGTTCCTCTCGCCGAGACGCGTCGAATGAAATATAATTTGACTTTGAAAGGTCAACTTGAAAATTTGACCTCCGGAAAAGGTCATGTTGCATATCAGTCGATACGTCTCGGCATGACAGGCACAATGAGGCCGTCCCCAGCGTTCTATCTCTTTCCGATCGAGAGATATTGGCAAAAATCTATTTGTAGCCTCAAATGACCTCGGATGGTCTTTCTAGAGGCTATCAGCAAAAAAAGACACATTGGTCGTCACGGGTGGTCCAAATCATTGTGATTCTGAAATATTTGGACTGTTCCTATGCGTACACATGGATCTATTTAGAGGCATTTTGGTTTTTCTCCATTGACTTATAATGGAAAGGTCACGCCACTGCACTGTGTTTTAACGCCGGCTCAAAACTGGCCAGGGCTAATGTCGTCGAAACTATGTGGGATACAGACGAAGTTA